TAACAAACCTTGTGTTTTAGGGGACGGGGGTTCCCCACTTCCCCTTGGGAAGGGGACGGTGCAGGGGTTCGAGCAGCTTTGGGGAAGTGGATTTTCCTTGGGGGGACTTCATCGCTCTTGAGGGCCTGGAACCCCAGGTCTCGGTGGTGGCCGGGAGAGCTTTTGCACAATTAAAAAATTGTGCACCAGTTGCGCCCGTACCTTTGGGAAGGCCAAGACTTCTGGCCACACCGGGTGGTTTCCACGCCTTCGTTTAACATTTTCCCGGAAATAGATTTTACTTTGCAAAACGCACTTCTACCGTGGGGTTGCCTTGGGGACTGTTTGGAGAAAAAAAATTCCAAATTAGTCCATGGCGGGGGCGGGGTGGGGTAAAGCCAAGAGTTACCCTTCACCTGGGAGGGCGTCAACCAAAGAGAAGGGGCATTTACTTTTTTCAACCCCCTCTGGCTTATGGCAAGCTCCAAACTGGCTTTTGCCGATACAGTTTTTCGGACTGCAACAAATTCAAAGTGGGGGTTTTGGTTTTGACCTACCAAAAAAAAAACAAACAAACCCGATTACGGGTTCCGGTCCAAGCGTACCTGGTTCCGAAAAACGGCACAAATCTCCCTCTACGGGTTCCCCAACCTTCGGGATCTGGAGGATCATCTTTGGGAGGACCTGCTCTTCGGAACCACCACCCCTATAACAAAGTGAAGGGCTGGTTTGGGGGACGAGGGGCGGGCAGGGGGGCCTTCTTCCGGGTGGTTGGGCCCTTCACCTGTGGCAACTCGCTCCCCGGGGGGAGGGGATAAAATTCAGTGATTCCCAGGCAACCATTCCCTTCCTTCTCCTTTTTAGAAGGGGGAAATTACAAAAGAAAAAACGTAGGTTTTAGGTTTAATGGGGGGGTGAACCACAGGCCGTCAGGCAAAACCTGGGCAGCTAAGGGGAACTAATGGGAACGACTTAGGAATGAAACAGGAAACTGGGACACAAATGTGGGGGGAATTGGAAACTAGAATTAACAGAGCTGACAATGTGGAATTGAAACTATGGACTATGAGACGGCGAACGCTGAATGCTAAACTGGTTTATTGACGTGTTGTAGAACTGAGAACCGACCGTTTAATTGTTTTTAACTGTTTAATTGCTGCTATACTGTTTTTATTGTTGTATTGTATTTTATTGTTGTATTGATGCCGGCATCGAATTGTGCCTTTGTAAGCCGCTCTGAGTCCCCCCCGGGGTGAGAAGGGCGGGGTAGAAGTGTCTGAAATAAATAAATAAATAAACAAAATTTTGACCCTCAGGAGGTTCTTCCAAACGTTGAGGTGGGATCTCTTTCCCTGCTGTTTGAATCCCTTGATCCGTTGTGGCTTAGTCTCTCTCTAGAGTCACAGAAAACCCCTTGACCTCTCCTCCACGTGACATCCTTTCACATCTTTCCACCTGGCTGTGATGCCCCCTCTTGACACATCTCTATCCCACACCATGTCTTCCAGCTCTACAATACCTTCCCTGTTCTGATTGACTTGATCCCAGGACCCTTTCAACGCATGGTACAACACTGCGCCAAATGCAGAGAAATTGTTTTAGAGGAAGCCGAGGAACACAGGGCTACTTTGGACCCCAACTCACCTCGAGATTTCATTGACTGCTTCTTTATCAGAATGGACCAGGTAAGGGAGAACTACAGAATCCACAAGCAGATGCTTGAGTCAGAGCCAACCTCTAAGCACTGCAGTGTCACATATTTGCTCTGGATTTCAGTTGAGAATTTCCAAGGACATCTCCAAGGTAAGGAGCCTAACCCCATAGGGAGACTCTATGCAGCCCCTCCACCCCGGGGCACCCCACCCCCGGATGGAGGGGGCTCTTTTGGGAGGAGGGTCCTTTAGGAAAGCCTTCCCTTTGTCTGTTCCATCTATTAAGATATATGTCTGTTTCAAGTACCATCTTCCATTTGATTCTAAAAGCCAAGCAGGGCCATGACTGTTGAGTAATCGGATGGGAGGCCACCAAGAAGCTCCAAAGCTGGAAGCTAAATTTCAGAGAAATGACCCACTGACATTTCTGAGCATTTTCTGCTTCAAAAACCTGGATTTATGAAATTTGTAGGCGACTTGAAGGCCACATCCACACCTCTTGGAACGACCTGGGGGTTGCTCGGCTCTGAGAATGTGCATGTGTGGGTGTGTGTCAAGGTGTAAAGGAGGGTAAAATTACTGCCACCAAATTTGTGAGGAAAGCCGGACAATGATCAACATCAGCTTAGGAGCTGGTTTATAAAGGGACTATTAGTTACAGAAGGATTTATTCATTTGATAGCGTAGCTCTAATTTGGATCTTGATTTGACCTTTCTTCTTTTGTAGGCTGTTTGACTTAGGAGAAACTGTATCAGGCAAGGCTTGAGGAGAACATATAACTTGTTCAATTCTTTCTTCACAAGAGGCACAAATCTTGACTGGTTACATTAGTAAGGTTTCATGAATGACTTTAGGTACAGACTTTAAGAGGTTTCTATAAGCAGATGTATCTTTCCTGGACAACTGTCCTAATAAAACAAATAAGCTAAAAGGCTTATTTAACAGAATTGGCTCCCAGCGAAACCCTGATTCTTAATATTAAAGAACCAGTCTTCCCTATAGTTCTCTAACTATAGTATTCCTGATGGTTTTCCACACACCACAGGATCAGCTACCTTCTCCTGTAACTCTTTGGTCACAGACTAACTCCCTGTTTCTCCCACTAGAGAAATCAGTCCTTTCTGCAACTCTAATAGTCACAGACTCTTCCCTGATTCTCCCACTAGAGAAATCAGTCTTCCCTGTAGCTCACCGGCTTACAGACTGCCACTTTCAAACAACTGCCCCGTGAAGTGACAGTTGGCTCCGCCCCCGTTGCTATGGTAACTCTGCTCAAGCCAAACCAGCCACTATCTCTAACAAAATATAATCCTACATACTTACCATTTATTAACTACTGTTTAAACAACACATAACCATAGGAATAAAAGTTACACATCGTCACACAAGGCCATGGGGTCAAAGCCAATAGAAGACCAGACCTTGTGGAGCTATGTCTGCCTCTCCTGTTCTCTCTCGGAGACCGGGGCACTGGACCTGGAAGGAAGAGAGAGCTCCTTTTATTCTAATGACTCAGCCACAGAAAGGCTTCCATTGGTATTTCCTAGACTCCACTAAGCACAGTTGGGCTGAGTCAACCTATTATGTTGCGTGTATCACCAGGAGAAGCACAATGAGCCCTTTGAGCTCACCATGGAGAACATGGTCATCTGCAGCCTGGAATTGTTTGGTGCAGGAACTGAAACGAGCAGCATGACAATCCGATATGGGCTCTTGATCCTCCAGAAGTACCCAGAGATAGAAGGTAAGAAAGATGTGGGGACTTCAGGACAACAGGTTCCACCACAATCTTAGCTTCTGCAGATTAACTGTAATCTGAACCTGGAGTCACCATTAGGTTGAAAATAGGCCCTGGAAGTTGTTGGATTTCTAGTTCTGGTTGAAGTCAAAAGAGATGGAGATGATCCAGGCCAGCTGCTTTCACCGGTAGGTTCTTGTGGGTTTTTTCGGGCTATAGGGCCATGTTCTAGAGGCCTTTCTCCCGACGTTTCACCTGCATCTATGGCAAGCATCCTCACTACCTCTGAGGATGCTTGCCATAGATGCAGGCGAAACGTCAGGAGAAATGCCTCTAGAACATGGCCCTATAGCCCGAAAAAACTCACAAGAACCTAGTGATTCCAGCCATGAAAGCCTTCAACAATACATTGCTTTCACCAGGTTTCCAACTCTTGGTTTCTACTTCCTTGGAAACTTTTAAACAGAGGCTGGATGGCCATCTGTCAGGGATACGTTGATTATCCTTTTCCTGCATGACAGGGGATTGTACTAGATGGTCTACATGGTCTCTTCCAACCCTATGAGTCTATGGTTCCATAATTCTGGTCCAACACATTTGGAGTGAAAAGAGGTCCAGGTAGTGGCTGCACTTCTAATTCCTGGTTTCCGATCTCTGGATTGTTCAGCTGATTTTGAAGTTGTGTAAGACATTAAGAAGAAGGTGTTTATAGGCGACTGCTTTGTGACCAACTAAGGGAATTTTTGAACCAACTAATTCAGATGCAGAAAGAGCCTGGAGTCCAGACTCTTTCTGGGGAGGCAGGTGGCTTTGGTGACTTTGCATAGAACTGGGCATATCTACACTACAGAGCTAGCTCAGTTTGACATCCCCCCAACAGAGACAGAACCAATATCTGTGAAATAATTGAGTTCTATGGCATTCTGAGATTGGTAGTGTCTTGAGAGACTAATCACCCTCCACTATCACTTGGATTTCTTAGTTAAATCAAGTTACATGGGGAACTTTCGTGCAAATGATCAAAAGATCAAATGTAAAGAAATCCAGAACTCATCCATCAAAATGGCCAACAGGAAACATACCTTTGGGGAAGATCCAAGACTGTCAGTCACACTTGGGGACTCAAATGTTGCAGCCTCAGAGATCAGCTCAGGTAGTTTTGATAGACATAAAGGTGTAGACACCCACATTTGGGGATGGTGTGATTCTACTTTTGGATGGTATGTCTCTTTTGATGGCCATTCATACAAAACATGGAAGCTCGTGGCTTACTATATATGAAGGGAAAATTCACACTGATCTGGGATGCAAACTTAGAAACTCTAGATAGTGCAGCCACTCTCTAGACTTGGGAGAGARCTGGTGGGCCATCATCCAGTCCAACCRCATTCTGCCAAGTAGCAGGAAAATCACATTCAAAGCACCRCTGACAGATGGCCATCCAGGCTRTGTTGAAAAGCCTCCAAAGAAGGAGCCTCCACCACATTCCGGGGCAGAGAGTTCCAGAYTYTGGTGGAGGCTCCTTCTRTGGAGGCTTCCRGGGCATTTCTTGCTCTCTTGTCATGAGCCAGAGTTTGCATGATTTCTCTGATGTTTTCTGGATGCTTCTTTCTTGACATTGAGCCTCATGCATCTCCTGGCAGAGAAAGTGCAGGAAGAGATTGACCGGGTGGTTGGCCGCTCCCGAATGCCCAGCATGGCTGACCGTGGACAGATGCCTTATACCGATGCCGTCATCCATGAGATCCAGAGGTTCGTCTCTCTTTCTCCAATGTCCGTGCCACATTCCGTGGTCAAAGACACGTCATTCAGAGGATACGTCATTCCAAAAGTGAGTTCTCTGCTTCTCCTTCCAGAAGAAGACACTTCCACAGCAGAACCATAACATTGGGGCCCTCAAAGGGCATTGCTCTACTTGGCATCCAGTAGGACTAGAAATCCTATTTCTTATTTTTATTTTGACAATTTGGCCACTGTCTGACCTGACAAATCCGCATCCCGAACCCTACCTGCACCCCAGCACCTCAGCAGCATTTGACACAGTCGACCACAATCTTTTGACCCACAGCCTTGCTGCTGTTGGAGTCAGGGGGGCAGCTTTAAATTGGCTGTCCTCTTTTCTTCACAACCTTGGACAGCGAGTGAGGAGGGGAGGCCTGGTCTCTGAGAGGTCCCCCCTCTCTCTCTTGTGGGGTTCCTCAGGGGCCATTCTCTCCCCTCCGTTGTTTAACACCTATATGCGACCACTTGCTCAGCTGGTTCGAGGTTTTGGGCTGGAGTGTTATCAGTACGCTGATGACACTCAGCTGGTGCTGAAGATGGAAGGCCGACCGGACGCTGTATCCAATTGTTTCCATCAGTGCCTCGAGGCCGTGACTGGGTGGCTGCATGCCAGCAGGTTGAGGGTGAATACAGCAAAGACGGAGATCCTAAGGCTGGATTGACCGGGCAGTGGGGATGTCCAGCTGCCCACCCTGGATGGCGAGGCACTATGCCCGTCATCGTTGGTCAAGAGCCTGGGAGTCCTTTTGGACCCTCTGCTGACGATGGAGGCCCAGGTCTCTGCCGTGAGCAGAACCGCCTTCTTTCACCTGTAGTAGGCTAGACGGCTGGCCCCCTCCCTGTCCAGGGACGACCTAGCTACGGTGATCCAGGCCACGGTCATCTCAA